GTTCAGCAGCACATGGAGCAACTTTGGTTGGGGTGTGCAGAAAGGAAAAGCAGGGAGGGAAAGGAGAGAGGTGTGCACACAGAGATGGCACTGGCACATGCACAGTATATGACGAGAGATGAAAGCTGTATGAAGTTCTTACCTCCCATAAATCCCAAGGCAAAGACTAAGCATGTCAAAGAGCAACAAAAATAAAATACGTTTATATGTGATTATTTCAGTGAGTACAAACTTTACAGACACTGATAAGACTGAAGCAGACATACACATTCAACAGCACTTAGCTCTGCCTGTTTTAAACGTGTTCTTTTAGTAACTAAATTTATATATCATCCTCCACTTCATATTCAAATTTAAGTACAAAGGCACTGGAGTAAGGTTTTTTTTCCTACTTCTTTTATAAAAGGAGATGGTCAAGCCACATTCAGTTATCAGTGGCAGATCACAAAGGAAAAAAAAAACTCATCAGTTTGTGGTCCATCAGGGTTAAATATACTCCCATATATCCATATCCAACAGAGTTAGTATCATTTCAGAACAAGAATTCAGCTGGTGACTGGATCAGTAATTATCTCAACCTCTTTGCCATAGTGCCCTCTCTAAAGGAAATAAATCTGACTGCCTTGAAAACTAAGTGGTCTTTGACAGGTTTTGTACCATGGTTACCATTAGAAAGTATAGATTTCAGACTCTTCCTTTTAATGAGCTCTGAAGCTAATAATAAATAATTAGAACAGTATTGCTGAGCAGTCTTGAAAAACCCACACAGTGTAATATTTGCTGCTTGCTGGAAGGGTAACAGATAATTCCATTTTAAGTCAAATTTAAACTTGTATCCTACAACAGTATACCAAATATGTTATCCAAGTTATAACAGATGATTCAGAAAAATTAAAATCCCAGTAAATATCTTTTTTTAAAAAAGGATATCCTGGCATGCAGCTTGTTCCATCAGGCAAGCAGACACAAAATGCCAATCTGCCCACTTAAAGTTCAGAAAGTGGTAGCTTGCCATATCGTTTCATGTCAAACTATGATAATAAGCCTAATGTTTGATACCTTTAATAAGATAGGTCTTATTGCTACAAAAATCTGTGTCATACAGGCCTACTTGACATAACGACACTGGAGAAATACTGTAAAAATAACCATTTTATATTTTGCAGATATGAAATGCAAAGTCTCAGTGAGGACAATAGCCAAATTCAGGATGCACTTCAAAGCCTCCAGTCATAAAATAAAGTGCACTCTACCAGCCTCTGACTGTGGACAGGACCAGGTACAGGCCAGACCAGAATCAGGCATATTCCTTTTTGATCACCTTGAGTAACTGCAGACTATCAGAGTGTCTGCTCATTAAAAACCCCTCTGAGAGCATTTTATAGCAGGAGCACAGAACTGAGGCTGAATTCCTACCCACAGAGTAACAGTTTAAATCCATGGAGCATACAGAGGATGCCAGTATAGGGAGGGACATACACCAAGTTGAACCAGTTGTCAATCAGTAGATCATCAGAGCAAAGCA